AGCTGGGGTTGTAGTAGTAGAGTATCTAAAAAAAGCAAAGGAGAAGAGTTAGTTGCCACCATCCCAAGACTGGAAAACCCCAAGATATGAGAACTGAGATTTTGAATTGCAAAAGACGAGCATGGATATTGAAAAGGACTCAGGGGTGTTTGAAACCCAAAGCTCAGGCTAAAACGTTATGTGATGGTTCTGTTCAGTCATGGACAGCCCTGGGGTTTTGCTGTCTGGGAGCAGAGCAGTGTAGGATTTTCAGAAGCATTTAGAACTGCTTTTGAAAGCCTAATAGCGCTATTTCTCAGCAACTTCAGTGTGGCTATGAGCACACAGGGAATCCTCTGGTCCTTAGATGCATCTTCTCGGCATTAAAACACAGGAAGGTTTCAGGTTGGCAAGATGCGTAGCAAAGACATTACAAGAAATCTGGTGACACTGAGTCTGTCCATTTAACGGGTTCAAACTAAGCAGATATTGCCAAACTGTGTTTTATCCATGTTTTTCCTTGTCAGAAAGACTGACTCAAACCTTCCTGAAAATGACCTGAGAAGGACATGAAAACCAGACCGCTGGCTACCATCCCCATCTCCTCTCCTGCAAGGCCTTATTTGGTGTGAAGGTCCATCTCTCCCCCAGGATTATTGTGTCAGTTGATGTGCAGAGCCATTGCTGTACCTTGCTGTGAGCAGAAGCTGCTGCTTCTTCTGCCAGGAATTCGGGCAGGGAGGGAGATCTTCCAAAATCCCGCTGCACTTTGGTGAATCCGTAGAAGTTTAACTGTCGAATGAAGCTCTTCATTTTCTGCATGGCAAAAACCCGCAGCGGTCCCTCCCTGCCCAGCACCTCCTCCTTGAAGAGCTCTTCATTGATGGCCACACATTTTCCACCCTCACTCCACCAAATGGACTGAAACCGCTCACTTTCCACCATTAGCCAAAGCTTCTGTGGAAAGCAGAGGGATGAGAATCCACTGGCTTCGCCCACGCTTACATTGGAAACAGGAGGGACTTGTTTGGTCTGGAGGCCATCACTGCCAGGTTGGACATCCCGCTCCTCCTTTCTCCCTCGTACGGCAGCGTCACACGGTGGGCCAGGATATGTCATGTCTGCTGACTGCCCCAGCTCCCGTGGAGCAGGAAGGGATGGTGTTTCTGCGGCAGACGGCTCCCTTTTCATTTCTTTTGTCTCAGCTGAACTAAAGTTTCCAAGAGTGGCCATCGCCCTGCACAGACAGGCCTTGTCCTGCCAGTGAGCAGCCAAAGGCCAACTGGTGCCGGCTGATGTGGGTACTGGTGGGTTATTCTGAGGTGTCACTGTGATGCTGTGCCCCATGGCAGTGACATCACAGCGTTCTCCCAGGGAGAGAAGGGATGGAGGAGGAGGAGCAGGGATGGCTGCAGCGTTGGGCATCCCAGTGCCCTGTTTGGGAAGTTTTCCAGCCGGGCACCTCTGACCCCTGCAGAAATGTCCTTACTGTGGTGTTTGCTGTGCTGGTGGCTCTTGAGCTCCTGCTTCACAGCCTTTGGCAGAGAGTGGGGACAAGCAGGGCTGGGGCTGCAGGCAGTGCCCTGAGTGCTGGGTTGTGGGGTCCTTCCTCACCCAGACATTGCTTCACCTTTCTTGTCTTGTCACTAGATGCAGAGTATAAGGAAACATCATCCAAGGTGTTAAAGGCGCTTAAAGTTTGCAAAGAGCAGTGGCATGTGTGTGGGAAGAAGCCTCTGCTTGGTGCAGGAAAAGGCAGCCTGAGACACAGGGAGAGCCTTGGGGAAAAGGAGGAGAATTTATCCCATCCTGCACTTTTTCTAGTGGCATTGCAATGCAGAGCCAGAGCAGGATGGGAGGGAGCTCTTTATGAAACGCAGAAAGCAAGCAGGAAGGGAAACTGCTTGGCAGAGGCTTGCTGTTGTATTCCCTCCGGGACAGGGTGGCTCCTGCCCTCTCCCTGGGCCGGTGCAATGCAGAAACCTGAAGTGTATCAGGTAGGAGAGCATGTATAGGTGACACTCTGGCATCAGTTTTGGCAACACACCCCTATGACCACGAAAACATCTCCAAACATTTGCTTTCAAGGTGCTCTCTCCAAGGCACAAATATTTTTTAAAAAGCGGTTGCTAACACCAGCATCCTGGCTCACGTACCTTGAGACTGTGAGTTCCCCCAGCACTCACACAGACTCCAACAATAACCAGCATTTGATTTCTGCAGAGTTACTACAGCTGGTTTGTTCGTTTCTTTTTATTACACTGAATAAGGAACTGAGAAGGTACCAATGGAGACATGATTAAATTACTGGATTCCCCAGTCACAGCTTTCAGAAACAGGTACTGGGTTATTACCAAACTCTTTGCCAAGCTGGTGGCCCCTGAAAAAATTAGTCATAATTGGATTTTGGCCCAGAATTAACTGTTTAATCTAATCCTTATAGAGATAGCTTGGTAAATGTTGGGTGTAAATGTTGGAAACAATATTATCTTAGTATTTTGTGTATGTGGAAAGTGATTTAACTTAATGAACACTCAAAAGTGCTCCTCCCAAGCTACAGAGGATCTGATATTTGCTATGTATTAAATGCTGAAATTGAAAGCAAAGTTCACTTTGCTACTCACACAAAGAAAACAACTTTGAATTTCAAGTCATCTTTATGCCTGGAAGGTATCACAGCTGTGTGCTTGGAGTTTTTAGTCATGTAATATCCTTCAAGTGTTGAGATTCTGAATACCTGGTGCATCGCTAGGGGCTGGTTTTGGGCTTCTGCTGGACACAGAAGTTTAGGTTATCTCAATCCATTAACTGAACTGAGCATTGAAAAGGGCATCAGGGAAGAGACACCTCTGGAGCTGCAGAAAGATCTAACACTGCCAGGAGCTGCACAGGCACTGAAGAAAACTGCACTTGCCATTGTAGCCACCACCTATCCCGGCTTCTCTCCAGGTGAGAATTTCTCTGCCTCTAGGTGCTGGCTTGCAGTTTGTCTTAAATAAAAGTGAGGCTGCAAACCTGGACCAGGCTTGTTTCTTCTTGTTGAAATAATGCAAGCTTGAGCATGAGCACAGTTTGTCACCTTCAAGTAATAGTTTTAAACATGTAAGAGGATTTGTTTTATTCATCCTACTTATGGTAGCTATTCCTCAGTCCTTGCCTCTTGCAGTATATCTAAAGACACTCAAGACACTGGATTTCATGTAATTTAGCTTGTTTTATTCCAGACTTGGAGGAACAGACACTGCACACTGTGCCAAGAGACAACTTAGAAGCACTGAACATCCACTGGGTTGTTTTCTTTTCTGATTTGAAAACCATACTGTGCCTTGCAAATGTGTAGTGCTCTGTGAATCGATCTGCTCGCCGAGCGAGCCCACACTCGGCGGGAGTGTGCTGGAGAGGAGCCAAGGCAAGAGGAGCCAGCAGCAATCCGACAGCAGCCCGGGGCTTTTGTGTGGTTCACATTTCTGGCTGCTTCACGTCTCTTGGGTGGAGTTTGCTCATAGTGCCGTCACACCAGCTCCTGCTTTCTGTGCTCAGGATGGCTGAGAAATCTGCTGTGCTCAGAGCTTGCTCTTCCACTGGGTCCACGTGAAACTGATTTCTACAGTTTTTCCATGTGCTGCCTAAAGAAGTAAGTGCTGGCTGTCACTTAAAACTGTCCTCACATTGCCTAGTTTTTCATTTCAGCAACTGAGTATTTTTTATCCAGGGAGCTTAAGCCACATGTTATCTCCTGAAGTAATTTATCTTAAGTACTTACTATGGTTAACCATCCCAAACAGAGAAAATGGAACTGCTGATTGCTCTGAAATGAGAAAGATGTGTTCCTACCTGATGTCAGGCGGCATGAAATGACTGCAAAGCTCCCAGTTTGTGCAAGACCAACTTTAATCCAGCACCAGTTCAGTACAAGACACAAGTCTGGGCATGGGTTTTGGTTGTGCTCTTCAGCTGCAGTGGCAGAAAGTCCACCTCACTACCAACCAAGCACCGCTCTGCTGCATGCAAAGTTTAAAGGTGAGCAGCTCACCGAACCATAGTAGCTAAAAGGACTTGGAGAGAGGCATCTCAGAGAAATATGAGACCAGGAGGAGGAGAAGGCACAAAAATTGCCTCCAAGGACACTTGAATGTGCGAGCAGGTTGAGGTGCCACCCAGAGCAACAGAGGTGGTGTTGGTTTTGAATACAGCATACCCCCATACACACCAATTGCACCAAGGATCTGCACAAGCCTTAGTTGCTTTCTTGTTGATTACTACTTTAAATAAAACTTGCAACTTTTTTTCACATGCAATGTTGAAGCTCACTTCTGATTACTGTTTCAAAAGTGAAATACCAACCCCTACAGAAATCACTTCCAGAAGCTTGAATGTAAGACCCTGTACCCAAAAGCCAGCTCAGTCTGTCTTCTATTGCGCACTCAGAGCAGCACCAACTTAACACAAGATCTCTGAGCAACCAGTTACCTAAACCAAAAGTGGCTGTTCCTTACAGTCTCTTTGTACTTGGGGTTTGTGTTTGAAAGTCACCCGCTTCTTACCTTTTCTCTTGCTCAGGTATTTCTAGGAAAGATCTGAAAAGATCTAAAACAAAGATCTAAGAAAGATCTAAAACAGTCTTCAGGTGCCACAGGCTCTGCCATTGCTCTGGCTGTGACATACCTTGTTCCAGAGCACTAGCAGGGATATCAGCATCATTGCTCTGATTCAACAGATTGCCATTTCAGAAGCTACTTGGAAGGGGGGGAAGTAAACCCTGAAGCACAGTTTGCAGGCTCTCAGCAAGTGTTTAAACATGCAGCACAAACAGCAGACCCTGCTTCAGGTTATATAAACAAAAGTGCCTCTGCCTTCGGAAGCTTGTCCGACTTTGTTTCATAATTTTTCAAATCTGTTAGCAATGAGGTTGGGCACCAGGACAGGAATTTCACCACAAAAATGCAGATGCAGGAGCAGCTCCTTCCTTGCAAGCATTTCACATCTTACAGAGGCAGAGCTGGTATGGGGGTTGCAAGGGCTTCCACGTTTTCTGTTTGGGAAATGCGTGGTTTGTGCTTTCCACTGCAGTCAGGACCGTCGCAGGCAGAACACTCGTGCTATTTGCAGCATCTCTGCTGCTCTGATTTGGCAGTAACTCCTCTCCTAGTTATTTTCCACCCTGAGGTTTTAAAAACAGGCTAATCAGTGTCCTGTGCTGGCATTAGTAAGTCAGCAGGAGAGTTACCAACAGCCTGAGGAGAGTCTGAGTAAGGCCTTGTGAACTGACTCGAGTGAAGTCGTTTGCTTGCACTGTGTAAAACACGTTGCAAACTAATTTTTCTCCAATGATGTTAAGCATAAAACCATACAGAGCTGTCATACGGCTCTCATCTGCTGATGCAGACTTAAAGCAGACACTGAATATTATAGCAAAACTGTATGTGTGAGCTGTCCTGCATTTGACTGCAACTCTTCTCAGGAGGAAAAAATAGAATTTGACAGATTACTGGTCATAATTCCCAATTAAGACATAAATAGCTGTAATCCTCTGTGATGTTGGGCAGAGTTTGGGGTTAGTTTTGGCAAAAACAAAACCAAGCTGGAATTGAAGGGAAGGGGGTCAAAAAAACTTTGAGACTGTACCTGCCCTCAGTGCAAAGCATATATTCTTTACTATCTTATTTGTTTTACTAGGCACCAACTGATACCTGCACACAGCTGCTATCAGCTGAGATAACATTCAATATTTGAGGCTCGACTTTTCACACCATAACAACGAATCTGTAAAGAGAATAAGAGGACACAGATAACTTGCAGCATTCAGCACAGCAGGTGCAGCGTTGTTGGAAAACTGACTTTTGCCAGAATATATTCTCTACAGTCATCGTGCATGATGCAGAACTACAGTGAATGCCCTGAGCAGAAATATCCTACATTCTCCAAGGAGTGTGTGTCGTGCAAAGCATCAGCAGAATATACCCAGTGCCAGAGAGGCATATGTTTGTTTCCTTGTCTTCAAGGCAGCTGGGAAAAGGGGTGGTCTGTATTTAATCTTATTCTCCTTTTATAAAATAGTGGAGGTGGTAACCTTTGAATATGGTCATCTGAAACCAGCCTGCCCTCCCTGATGGCATAAACCAGCTCTTGGGGCTCAACTGACTCTTTATACTGGCCTAGAACAGAAAAGCCTCCCTCAAACAAGCTACCCCTTTCTCCCTGCATCTCTGCCACCGTATCAAAATCAGTTAGAT